GTGTGTGTGTGTGTGTGTGTGTGTGTGTGTGTGTGTGTGTGTGTGTGTGTGTGTGTGTGTGTGTGTGACAGAGAGAGAATGTATGTAAAATATAGCATTCCTTCCTAACCTGCGGCCAAGTTTTCCTCTCAGTTGTAATGGCACAAGTCCAAGTACCAGGTCATTCACATTAAAGTACTTATTATAGTTTAATACGAGCGTGGCTAAGAACCAGAGGCATAAATAACAATTTCTGTGCACTGGGCAGAGCTGCGGTTGAGCATGCCCCTTTCCCTTTCAGTACCCTAAATGGTAGCCAAAAAGCAGAGGTCAAAGCCCCCAGCTGCTTGTACCACAACAAAGGGTCCCCATGTCCCCACTGCTGCCACTGCACAGGGTCCCTGGAGCCACCGTTCTGGGCTGGAGCCCCACTTGCCCCACCCTGGTTATATTATTGCTAAGAAGAGAATATCTCTCTAAGCCTGAGGTGTCTTGAACAACCACCTCTCGGCCCACGCTCCTACTTGAAACGGATGGGTAGGTTGTAATTCTGCCAGGTACAGCTTAAGTTCAAGCCAAAACAGATTTTTCCCCAAGATGCTTTATAGTGAATCATCCAGACATACAGCCCCCCAGCAGGTCCTTGGTGATCCCTGTGCTTCAACACCCATTTATTTTGGATGGTTCATTCTGAACCTTTTTCTTTTCTGCACAACTGGGTTTGTCCTTGTCTTTCTCTCCTTTTCTGATTTTTTATCTAGTTGAATTGGACAGCTAGTCCCTTTTATTAGCCTCCTGTGGACTCTTGAACTTTTTTTTTTGGGTCCATTTGATAAGAGTTGGGCTACGCAGCTGGATTTATTGGCATACTTTTTATTATAGATTGTAGTCTTATGATGATAAGGTTCCCCATAATGACTGTCTTTAACGATTTCCTTATATATTGATTTTACATGCATGACACATTGCCTTATATATTGCTTTACCTTAAAAATTATTAATCCTTATTCTGTTTTTAAACATTCTTTATTCAATGAAAAATCCTCTTGCAGAATTCAGGTTGGTGAAATCATTGGGTGTTTTGCTTTAATGGAGACTTTATAATTTGGCCCATGGTATAAAATAATTAGATTGTAGTATGTGCATTAAAAATGTTAAAGCACAAACTCCCCTGTTGATAATAGTGGTGTGAGTGCTAAAGAATTCAAAAGGAGCCTGGGCAAACACCACAGATTGCTTGTTTTTCAAGCTTAGGCAAAATAGCATAATGTATATTTACTGGTTTTTACTGTAGTATTTTTTTCACGTGTCTGCTGACTCCAGGCCAAAAAACCAAAGTCTTAAATGCAAAGCATCCATTTTTAGAGACTTGACACAACAATACCCAAGTGGCATCATGTTTCAGAATGCTGATTATGTATTTGACGTGATTGCAAAAAGTCAGTTGTCTATGGCTGAAGCGATAGAAACCTAGTATGATCTCATCAGCCCTAGACCTAAGTGAGGTCAGGTCTAGTTGGTCTTTGGATGGAGGAGTCATAAGAAAAACTCGTCATGCTGTATTAATTAGATGACACACTTTCTCCTGACTCAGTACTGATCAGTTGTTCCAATATGATGCTGCAGTGTGGCATGAATACAGGTTCCTGACCAATTATGATGGTAGAACCCAGAGTAAGAATCCTAATCCCACTATCCTGGTTACATTTCTGCTGAGGTTACTGCATGCTCTCTATATTAATCCTGGAGTTTTAACAGGATATAATATTCTTCACCTTCTGCCTTTAATGCAGCATAACTGTGAACTATTAAGATGCGGCCGTTTTGGACGTCAGTGGTAAAGAATGAGCTTCCTGCATATATAGTTTGTACAACTGTGCCTGATGAAGACACTCCAATAAAGGGAGGTGTTATGACCTATGGTGTTGGTTTGCCCAGACTGCTGCTGAATTCTTTAGAACTCATGCCACTATTATTAACAGGGGAGTTTGTGCTTCAACATTTTTAACGCACGTGTATAATATATAGATCTATAATACCTCCCTTTATTACACGGTGTCTTAATCAGGAACAGTTGTACAAACCATATATGCAGGAAAGCTCTTTCAAATGTATATATTATCTGCTCCTTTTGCCATATATATCATGGCAAGGAGGACCAGATAAAGTCTGATCCTCTGTGTGTGTGTGTGTGTGTGTATGCATGTATGCGTGCACACACATATATTCAGGGGCGGTTATGAACTTGGGCATTGCACCCTCAAGCATATGGACAAGAGCATCCCAAGTGCCAGTCAACACTCAGAAGAGGGCAGACACCAGTATAATCAAGGCACAACTCTCTCTTTCACATGCCCTTCCCCTCAAAAGGGGGAATAAGTGTTGCTCTTTTGCTTACTCAACCCAGCGCAAAAGCAGTGCAGATCACTTCAGTACTCACCTTCACCACAGCAAGGCTCATAGAGACCTAAGTATGTTCCTTCTCCCAACAACAAGTATTAATGTGCCGTTTGTCTTTTGCAGACTTTTTGAGACCCTCCAGTCACTCTTCTGGTCTGTGTTCGGTCTGTTGAATCTCTACGTCACCAATGTGAAAGCCCGCCATGAGTTCACCGAATTTGTTGGGGCCACCATGTTTGGAACCTACAATGTTATCTCCCTGGTTGTGCTGTTGAACATGCTCATAGCCATGATGAACAACTCCTACCAGCTCATTGCTGTAAGTGCTCTCCTCCTCTTCCTTTTCTGATGTTCTCTTCTGCAAGATGTGTCTGCTTTACACGTAGCACATGCACATCTCAATACCTCCTGACTAGCGGTATGCTGGAATTTCCATTCACTAGGCTGAGTCTGTTAGTTTCTAGGCTCGCATGGGCTGCTATGTTCAACTCTAATGCTATTTGATTGCAGAGGGCTGTAGCCTGCTAACTGTCCTTGTCTTCTCTGATTCTGTACTTCAGGAGTATTAATCACTTTGTCATTAACAGCTTGCTTACTCCATAGCACAGAAGAAACACAGAATGCAGTGGGCTGGTTGCATTTTCAAATGTTTCTTCACTCTTTATTTTTACCTGTTTTCTGGTGTCCTGTTTCCTCATTCCTAGTGTTTCTTAGTCAGAGCTACCTTCCTCATATGTGCAAGGGACCAATCCTGTCATTTTGATTCCACAGCAGTCCTGTAGAAATCAGTCCATTTCCAAGTGAAATGCAAATCAGTTCTATAACTGCCTGTGCCTGTGGTGCATCTCTGAAATCAATGAGTCCAAGAGCATTTGTGTCGAAAGCAAAATCCGACCTCAGAGTTGTCACACACTGTGGACCCAATTGCAGTCTTTTCCAGTTCTCTGAGGCACGTTGGGTATTTGGGTAGGACTTCAGTAACTACAGTTACTCAGTCTATGATCCTTGAAAGGCACTGCTCTGTGTTTTGTTAAGGATCTTTTTCCACATGAGCCTAAAGGGAGCCTAAACCTTGTGAACATGGTCTTCAAATAGGTAAAAAGCAGAGAGGGAACGTGTCAGTTTGGTTGATTATCATCCCTGGCTCTTGATGTCATGGGGTGGTGCTGTGTTGGATGGTTTGGGAAAGGGAACAAGAGACAAAGGGCTAAATTCTATTTTACTTCCTGTTCCTAAAGCCTAAGAGCGCACACACTGTCATATAATTGCCATTTTGGGGATTTACTGTTTGTTTTTCAGTTCTGGATGTGCAAGTGTGCATGTACCCACTGAGCACGCTCAGTTGGATAGCTGGGAAATGAAGTAGAATGGTCCAGGTACTTACATAGGGCTGGGCAGGTCCTGACATTGTGGGTTTTCTGTGATGACAGAAGCCCAAAATGTATCTGGTAGAAGTTTGTGCCCTCAGTCAGCCAGTCAGATAGAAGCATGTGGGAAACGTATGCGGGGGGAGCACGGGGAGCTCCCACCCTTCTCTGGACATGTATGACAGTGTCGGGACACTGCTTGCTTGCTTATGTCTGCATGCTCCAAAGTCAGTGGCCAATGCTCACAGGCTAGTCCCAACTAGTTGATCACACTGAAAACAGACCCCCCCC